GAGGTCGTAAGACTTATGTAAAAATTTAATTTTACCTGAAATGCCACTTCTTTTGAAGGTGTACGCTACGCTAAACAAATTTTTTTAGATTTGAGAAGATACAAATGATAAAGTTATTTTACCAGTTGGCAATCTATCATAGATGTTTGTTTTTGTCATCAGTAATCATTCAAAAGTCATTATTGTGATTTTTAATCGGAGTATTAAACATATTTGCCTAATGCATCATAAACTTTGGCGTAAAGACAATCAAGTGTGGTGGCGAAAAAAATTTTTTAACCCTAATTATGGCTGCATGATATTTTTGATGCATATTCATCCCTTTAAAATTCTCCAAACTTGGATTTTAATGAAATAACAATCAATTTTTTATATAAACGGATGTGAATAATAATAATAAAAAAAAACATTCAAGCCATCTTGCTTTTTCTCTAAAAGTTAATTCCGGTATGAGAATTTTTTTCGTGTTTCAGAAATAAAAGAATCGCGTAATTGTAAAAGCGGACATATCAAAGTTACAAAATGAATAAATGAATATACACATATTGCCAATTAAAAATTTAAGCGCCTTAGTAATCCTTTCGTGTGAATATATTTTTCTGAAAAAAAATGGATTACACCAATGCATGCAACAACAAGTGCCGTATTACTATACTAATTATTACAACAAAACATTAGGTAGCATAACTATGTAACAATGTTTGAGTTATTCGGTTAATTGTTTTTTGATACCAAAATGTCATGGTTACTGCCGAGAACGCGTCCGTTCATAATGGGGCACGCAAAAGGTAAACAAGCAACGAACCTTTTTGAAATTAAACTTTTCTCAGGGAATCAACTTGATAGGATTTCCCTTTCTTTGCATGCTTCTAAAGAATCCTCAATGAGTAACGGAACCTTAACGATCAGGCGACATAACTCAATTCAAACCAGTCGTTTCGTTCCAACGTTTGAATCAGAATTCGAATTTCTCATTACAAATATACAAAGCGACTGTAACTGTTGTCAAGAATTATTTATACATGGATCAAAAAAAAAAATCATTTAAACCAGGGTTAATGTACGATGATTGATATTTGATTGATAAAGTTTTTCCTTTTAAGGCGCGGAGAAACATCGCCGTTTCGTGATTTGAACTTTCTCAAATATAAAAATCACATGCATACACAATAAGGTCAGGAGTTATCGCGTAATAAAGCTTTTTCTGCAACAATGACCCTGATTATACAAAAAAGCAATCACGTGAATAACTTTAACCTGGTACAATTCGCGTAACGACGCATTTGTTTTTTTTTTTATCGTGATACGTTATTATTTACATCAAACAATCTAACAGTTTGTATTTAACATGAACCTATACCATGCTTCTTGCGAGACCCTTGCATTTCTTGCATAAACAGGTTTTACATTACATATGATGTTATAATGGCTTATACAAATTCGGATTTATAATTATCATGATTAACAATCTTCCCATCTGAAATCGAAAACAGGGAAAAGTTCTAAAAATGGCAATACCAATCTATAAAATTTGAAGTAGAAGAAGAAAAAAAAAAAAGATTTGGTTTTATCGAAAGGTGTTTCTTCCTGCATAAAACGTTTGGTTTGTCATTGATGTGGTAGATCATTACACTTAAATGATGTTTTAATATGTTCGACTCAATTTTTTTTTATCCATTGAAAAAAGGAAAATTTCGCTGTAAAAAATGGAATAAATAAGTTGCGGCGTCGAATGAAAGCTTAATGTCACATCAGAACGTGTATTTTAATCATGTAATAATTTCATTATGCAGATCGATCCCGAAAAAGGTGAGATTAGGGAAATGATTAGGGTAGCCGAGCCAATTAAAATGTTCGCGAAAAAAAAAAACACATTTGAACATAATGAGTTTAGTTTAGCTTGGGTAAGCGAATAATTTTTGGGGTGGTAAAATCTCTTCTTAATAATTTAAAATTATTAAATGTTTATTTTCATAATAATAAATATGCACTAGATGCGCAGGAGAAAAAAACAATAATTAAAGAATGAGGTGGTAAATCATTCTATATTCGAATCCAGAATCATATCGACCACAAGTATGCAACATCTACAATGAAGCATTTTGCCTATTGTTGTTTGTTACCATCATGCAAGCGTCCCCCCAATGATATTCAAAATTTGTGTCTTGTAATTCAAATTAAGCTACATTTTGAATACATGCGCAACAAGGATATGGGAATATCATTAATGCACATGAGAGATCTAGCATTGGATACTGATATTCTACACGCGTGCCGGAATTTTGCGCTCTATTTGTATTTGTTTACAACGTAATCAACTTTGCCGTCAATGTCCACTTTCATTTATTCATTGAGTAAAATTACTCCTGAATTTTTCTAAATGAACAAAGGTTATACAATGAAGATAAGTCAAAAGTCGATTTGGAACAGGTTATCAAATCTTCGAAAGGGAAGTTCGTCGTCCCGAATGAATGATTGGTGGAGAATGAATCATAAGAAAATTTTTTTTTGGTTAAAAAAAATATGATCGAATCTCGAATCTATTTAAATTGGTCGTACGAGTATTCAATAAGGCGGAGCATGGAGCATGGGATTTACAACAAGTTACACCGGTAAAGAAATATAGAATCATATAATATATATATCCCAGGTAATGGAATTCAATTAATTGGTTGCCTCTTAGGCTTAAATCAAAACATCCGTATGTTTTCCCGGACGCCAGAATTTTTTTCCTTCTAGGGTTGATGAATGATAAAAATAAAAATAATTAATAATAAAAAAAATGTTGGTAATGACAATCAAACGACAATCTCATTACTCGTTTCTCATTTAAGGAAAAAAAAGAATAATAATTTCCCACGATCTTAGAAATGAGATGTCAAAATTTTTAAAAAAAGAAGTTTGATCAACCATTCTGAGATCTTAAATTATTTACCTGTCAGCAATTGGTACAAGAAAAATATTTTTGGTATCAAAATTAATCATCTCAATAATAATCTTGTTTGCCAATTATTGGCTCATTAAAATTATTGTCACTAGTTACGTTACCATTATTAAAATGAACTAGGTGATCCATATAGTTGTACATTTCTTTAAAAATTCTTAAAAATAAAACCTAAATTATTGTGTGACTGTCTTTTTTTACTTAAGCAATGAAAAATAGATATTTCTGTTTTTCTGGCAGGTTGGTGTAACCTTTTTTTTTTTTCAAATCTTAAAAAATCAATTACCGAATTATAAATTTATTTTTTAGAAAGGGTTTCCGAATGTTTGAATGTTTGTTCTTCTATCTGATATGTATACAAAAAAAAAAAATTTCTACAGTATGAACTTCTAATTTTGAAAAACAAGTGAACCCTGATATTAAACCTGTTACAATTACTGAGGGTCTGGAAGGAACTCAAATGACGCGTTGTAGATTTCTGCTGCGTAACAATAATGAATGATAATGAACCTAAATTATATAGATAGAGAACACACAGTTAATATATATGTTTTATTACTAATATTTTTTCTACTTATGTAATAATTATACATTATTTCTTTTATTTATCATTTGAAGGTTTAGATATCCAATTCTTTTTACACGGGTGCTTCTCCGAAATAAATAAATCAGAACACTTAATGTATATTATTTTGTATAAATAAACATTTGAGCGGTCTTTATTTATCGTATTTTTTCTAAAATAATAAATTTACATTAAATTTAGTATATATAAAAAATAATACATATATATAAGTTAAAACCTTAAAATTTTTTACCAACGAAGATTTATAGATTATTAATTAATACTATTCATTTGTACAAAAAAATTATAAACAGTTTGAAATGTCGCAACGATGAAAAATAATCGTTTGTTTAGACTTATTTATCTATATGTTGAGAAAAAAAAATTTTATTTTTTTTTCGCACGCAAATTTTTGATGTTACATATTACAATGAAAAAAAAAAAAATTTTTTTTTTTACTTTAAAAATTTGCTTAATTTGTTAAAGAATTTTTTTCCTTGGCGTCGCGGATTTGGTCACTAGCTTTTACCAACAATCACAAATAGCCAATCCGTAAGTTAATGATGGGATATGTAGCGCCAAAAAAAAAAAGTAAAAACAAACAAACAAGTCGCGATAAGATAGATTTAGATTGAATTAAAAGAAAGCGCAGCAGAGATTATTATATTTAACTTTACAAATAGCTTTTATTTATTCACATACTGTTGTATTTATACATAATAATAAAAATTAAAACCAAAATAAAAAATATTTAATTTAAACAAGTTCATCTTTGGTTTTATTAATATGAAAAAAAAATAAAAGACGAAATGATGGAGGTATGTTGTTGTTACTAAAAATAAGTGAAAAAAGAAGTAAAAAAAAAAAAAAAAGAAAAAGCGAAAAGAAAAGAGAATTTTTGAAGTTTTTTTTTTACAACTAAATATGTACAGTGATTTTTTAGGAGTTTTTTTTTTTTTTCCTTCTTTAACTCTATTATTAGTGTATAAGGAAGAGAGAAAGAAAGAGAAACTAGATTACCTACACTAATACGGACGGACATTCACGTGAATTAAATATTTTTTTTTTGTATTTTTTAAATTAATTTTTTAACCCACACACCCAACCCAACCCAATAAATAAATAATATATATAAACAATTTGAATCATAAAATACTAAATCTCTTCAGAGTGATTTTTTAGGAAAAAAGCTTTTTATACATTGACTCGAGAGATTTTGTATTCACATTTCAAATAATAAACATGTCTGTAGTGTGTGTAAATATTCTAGCAACGATATTCTCCTTTAGTTACCAACTAACTTATCTTCAGATTAGGGTCCTATCGGGACCAGATAATAGAATACTTTTGGGGAGAATAAATAACTGTAAAATATAAAAGAGAAATATTGTTAATACAAATCAATTAAATAAGTCCAAGTCAATAGATCGAAAAGTAACGAAGGGAAAGCTTACCAAGTAAAATTACAAATTATTAAAGGTATTAAAGTCATTAAACACCAATAGGTCGTTCGCAAATCATCTGGTCTTCTGCCGAAGGCATATAAGAGTTCAAATCAATATTGAACTGCATATAATCTAAGGGTTCGGTATGCGTTTGATACCCATAACCGAAGAAATTGTATTGGTTTACATCGGAATCGTTTTCAGGTGAAACACCCTCCATCATAAAGTTAAAAGCGTTATCAACGCAGACATTATTAAAATCATCAGAAGAAGTAACAACAGGAAATAAATTTTTGGATTCGTCCACATCATCGAAGAGACCAATTGATTCATGTTCGTAACCATAATAATCAATTTCGTTCAAGTCACCAGACACGGAAATCAATGAGCTTCGACGGGATTCGTCAAAGAGTTCAAAGGTAGCTTCGGTGCTAACCGTATCGATCGAGGAGCGTCGATCCATTTGCAGAAACGAAGGGTCATCATTGATATTGTTATTATCATTGGTCGAAATAGTGTTCATTAGGGGGCTTGTGGATTTTGTGTTTTCATTATTCGTGTTTGGTGTTATAGATACGACATTTTTACTTGTGGAAGTTAAGGAAACTTTACTATTGTTCAAACTTGCATTTGGTCTCTTGGTGCGACGGCGTTTTTCATGAGGTCTTCGTGGTCGATATTTATATTCTGGATACTTCTGCATGTGTTCCAATTTAGCCGCATCGGCCATTCGTTGGAACTTTAATTTCTCTTCTAAGGGCTCCTTGTGCCACATTTCCCCTACTTGTTTGGATACTTCATTGTTTGATATTCCTTCGTTGGTTTTAACTATTTCAGGTTGCTTAGAGCGACGGTATAAGATAAAGGCATTTGGAGGTCTCGGTGGCTTCTTTGGTTTTTGAGCTTTAGCGGCTGATCCTGCCCGCGGGGTCGGTGCTGAAGTTCTTGCCAACACTAATTGTGGAAAGCGAACGTCGGATGTGGGATTGGATTGGTTATTTATAATTGGAACAATTTGTGGAATGGATGCCTTGGACTTATTGTTGACGACAACGACCGGCGTTGAAGCATGCTGAATATTTAGTTGTTGCTGTTTAAGAAGCTGTTGTTGTAAATTTTTGCCATTTTGGAGTAGATTTGCAACCGGTTGCAGCGGAGAATCGCGTGGAACTAGGACTGGTTCGTATCCTTCGGGTATGAAGTATTGTGTCCCCTTTCGTTGTTCATATAAACTGAAAATCTCATCATGAGGAATGAACTGGAAGGTCGGAGGCTTCGTTGTTGATTCTGAACCTTTATTAGCAATCCTTGACGATGGTAAGTAATGTGAGTTAACGTTTCTTTGTGATAAGTATTGCATGTTTAAACTCTTATTATCGTCGTTCATTTTCGTGATATTTTGTTTTTTTTTTTTTTTGAAAGGATATATATACAAATTATTTTAAAAGCACGTAATGTATTTGTGATTATAAAGTTGTTGTTGTAAGATAAAGATAGCACGCTATCTAATTACAATGTGAGACACAAGAAAAAAAAAAGGTAAGAAAGTAAGAAAGGTTTTTTTTTAATGGGGGAAATAGTGACCGTTTGAAAGAGAATAAAATAAATAGAAAATAGAAATAGAAAAAAAAAATAATGATACAAAGAGAAAGTTATTTTTTGAGTTTTTTTTAAAAAAACTGAAAAAAAAAAGAGAAAGCAGAAAAGATGCTGGAAATTTAAGCTTATATATATTAGATTTCAAAGATTTTTTTTTTTTGATTTTAAAAAGATTAAATATAGTGTCGAGTTCAAAATATATATATGTATAGTGCTTAAGGATAGTACCAAAAATAGGTTAGGTTGATCTTTTTTTTTTATTTGTCCTAACAAAATTTTTTTTTTTGTTTTTTTTTTGCGTTCAGATTGAATTTGGATCCAGCAGCGAATTTGTGCAATATTTAAATGAAACCAAAAATCTATAATTCCCCAAATTTGTAATTGTGTTCCCAGAAATTTAAATTAATTTGTGTCGATCATTCATATTTTTATTTTCTGCTACTTTAAATAACAATACTTGTTAATAAAAAAAAAAATATTTTTTTTTATTTATATAATAAATTTTTTTTTTTAACATTAGCGATTATCGATATATAAATTAAAAAAAAAAATTAAATATAATGTACATATGTTACTGTAATAAATATACATAATAAATAAAAAAAAAAATAAAAAAAAAATTTTTTGAAATAAAACATTCTGTAGAACATTCTCATTTTGGTGAAATTGAAGTAATAATTTTTAACTAAAATATTTAATTTTTTGTATAAATAAAAAAAAAATTTTTTTTTTCTATTGTATCAATTAATTAATTCAAATAAATTAAAACCTATTATATATATATATATTTTTTACTAACGTTACGTTTATAGAAACTATTGCTGTGAATAAATGGGCGAAAATTCACAATAAATTATTAAGATAAGACATTTAAAAATGAAACAAAAGATAACGGGTTCGTCGTGAAGAAGGAATAGTTAAAATTCCAAAAGCGTATCCTATAAATAAACTAATCAGATAGGCGATTATTAAAGCACGATTTTCTTAAAATAAATTAGCGTTTTATGAAAAACATGATTTTCTTAAAATAAATTACCAAATTTAAAATTTCAATTATTAATAATTATAAACCAAACATTCCGAGATTTTAATAAGCTTAATAATCTCAAAGAGCGACTTCCCAAAGCACACACAAATGCGTATCAATTATTAAATAAAATAAATAAATATATAAATAAATATTTTTTTTTTGTTAAATCTTCGTTCGCCTAAAGTCACATATATGTCATTACCGTGTGTGTTGTAAATCACAAGACATTAATTAGAACATGGAACAGCTAAGGTTATGCAGGTATTGATGCATCACGAAAAACCTAAAAATGAGATCTGCTGTCGTGCGACATTAAATTACCGTAGATATTGGAATGAAAAGTTTTCTTTTAATGAACTTTCTGTTGGTATCATTCTGAAAAAATAGGGATCTTTGTAGCAACAGCTGATAAGGACATCAAGGTCATTAGACCGACACAAATGAAATTGCAATTATTAAAAAAATATATTTTCAAATTTATTCAAATTTGGGAATAATAAAATGAAAATGAAAATTAAAAGCGAAAACACGCTTAATGACTTAAGTATACTCGTACATGCTACCCAATTTTTTTTTTCCATTTTTATATATTTTCTTTGACCTTTTTTTTTAAAAAAATAAACGTTTTTTTCCCCTTGAGAAAATTTATACAACACAAATTCATCAAAAAAAAACTGGTGAGAATTGATGCGCATAATGCTTCGCCCCGCATACATTATGTTTAATTGTCATGTGACTGCTGTGATTTTTTTATACACTATAAAAGTCGTTTTTGTCCGGGCATCACTACTCGTGTGATTTGTTTACGCGTCGTCAATTGTTCATTTTGCCTTTGTCTTGACATCGTATAATTCCTTTAACGTTCTAATTAAAATATTTGCTTTCTTTGCCATTTCTTGAAATCTAAACTTTAATATTCTTGACATTTCCACATTCAGTATTTCTCTATAGATATCAAATGTGAATAAAATCAATAAATGCAACTTGCCATCATTGCATTTGCACTTTATTGTGCAAAAAATCAAAAACGTATGCTTTACCTTTCATTCCATTCCAAAATGATGATTTTCATCAGAATATAAATTTGACCGATCATTTATTATTTAAATAAATAATTATCCAAGAAAAGCAAAGAAGGAAACTTGACAATGAACCACATTGAACGACTCGGGTTTACAACGTTAATAATTGATTTGTTTGTATCTCTCATACCGTTATTTATCGATTCGTTCGCCGTGTTTGGTAACCATTCGCCGCTGAGTCAAGAATGATGCGGCATGCAAGCGAAGAAAATATGCTACGCCACATAATAGGTTGAAAACCATTATTTTAATCGCCTGGCCTGGTTTAAATGATCAAACCTTTTTAGAGTCGGAATTAATATCAGAATTCGGATCAATTATATTTATAAATCAGTTAAATCTTAAAACCCGTCCCGACTTGCTTAGTTATTAATTTCATTGATAGCTAGTTTATTATTAAATAACAAGGGTTTGATTAGCTTAATGATCTTAAAACGGGAAAGTACGTATTTGTGAAATAAAGCACAAAATTTAAAGTTGAAACGTGTAAAATTAATCATCATAGATTAAGGTTGTAATGTGATCAAGTGATGAATATATTTTTTCCCTTTAATCTAAAGTTAAAATTAAATCTCCTTTGTCACGAAACAAGATGACCTAATCATACACTCCCACTCCCTCATTTATCTAGGCACAAGAAAGGATAGTAACAAACAAAACCATAATCGGAAAGTTTAAAAATAAAAGTAACGATGCATGTTAAAAAGTCATATTGCTTGTAACCATAACTTCTAACAGATTTCAAAAAGAAAGTTTCGGTTTTATTTACCTAATATCCGATAGCGTATATTTTTTAAAATGAAACTAGCTAAAGCAACAACAATTGACTTTGATGTCATTGTGTTTATGCTTATAGCCTACTGTAGGCTTACATATAAAACATGATTTTCATTTTCAAAGTTACTTTAAATTTTTGTGTAAAAAAAAAAGAAGCATGATAAAAGAAAAAGGTTAGGTTTAAATGATTTAAGGTAGATTAGGAAATATTTGTGGATTTGTTTTTTATTACCTTTCCGTTAGTGGATAATTTTTTTTTTTTTTTTTTTTTTTTTTTTAAAAAAAAAATAATTCCATGACTCAATGTCATGCAATGTGATTGATTGTAAACAGCAACTTTCATGAATAAAAAAAGTCGGATGTACGCGAAAATGTTCGGTTCGCAATCGTCAATGACTTTTATCTCGCATATCGTTAACTTATTTAGGGAAAATAAAAGAATAAATATGGAAATAAAAAAAAAAGGGAGGAATGCAAAAATTTCATTTAATTCGTTTTAACTAGGTATGATAGATTCTAGAATTCGTATTTTTTTTATATTAGACATTTAAAGTTATCATTTAAATCGGTTATTTACTTGTTTATTTATTTTCTTTATTTAATTTCCCTATCAGATAAATTTATTTTTATTACATTCCTTGGAGGGGGTATGGTGACGCACTTTTCTTTTCTTGTAAGAATTCATTGTCAATATTACCATATAAATCAAAAATTATCACAAAAAATTACGTACGTAATTGGTTAAGAATAAATTAATGTATATAAATACTAAAATGGCAAATAAGGGAAAATAGTATCGAAAGAACTTGTCCAATATTTGTAACCGCAGCTTATCACAATGTAAATTTAATACAATGTTACCGTTATCGTAAATTAAAATATATAAGTTTGTACCATGATATATAATATTTAGGGTAAGAATAAACTGACAGGATGAAAGAATACATACATGGGAGGGATAATCATTCAAACTTATTTGTTGATTTCTCTTTCGCAATTGAATGAAAATCCTCTTTCTTGCCGCCTTTAAATGTAAATTTATTCAATTTACTGTACATATTTCTCTGAGTCAAATCCGAGCTCTTTTGTTTAATAAACGCAACGAATAGAATGGTTTAAACATTAATGTGGTAGTGATCAAAGTTTATTATGACAATAGGTAATATTTATTATCTCTTGCAAGGGATTTCGGAATATGAATATCCTTTGGCCTTGATTGGCCACATGATGGTGCAAAGACGAAATGTTTGATAAAGGTTTGATGTCATCTCGCTATCCGTATTGATTTGAACTCGTCCGTGTGGCATGAATTGATTTTCTATAAGCACTGATTCGTACATTAAATAGAAACAAATTAGTATGAAGTGATGACGAATTCGGATTTCGATTTACGAATTCGGATTTTTGATGAAACAAATGTTGATAATCATCTTTTTTTTAAGCAACGCATGCATATAATTGGGTTTCCATATGTTAAGCTATATGGATTATAAAAGAAATTTCTAGTTGGAATAAATCCGGTTTATCTGAAACAACATTTGACAGTTCCGACCCTAAAATGTAATTATTGTAATTACGAGATGATTTTTTTTTCCCGCCACAAGTGCATACAAAACTGCTCGTTCCAGAAGGTTAAATGGCTAAAAACGCCTATTTGCCAAGCCTCTCTATTATCAAGAACCATACAAACATTACCTCAGCAGCGATAAATGCGCCTCAACATTGTTATCTGAAACAACGAACGATCAAGAATGAAGTTTTTGAGGCTTTGGAAAATTGAATAATGATTGTCATTTTTTGATTGTTTTCAGATGTACTGAATAATCAAAAAGACAATCGCACACATAAAATCACGTAAAAGTGCATAGAGATAAACGTGAAAATAAGAGCGGAATACGT